TTTTTGTTTGGTATTTAGTTGGGGAATCGATTCATTCCAACTTGGCTCTGGGTGGACACCATCCACGTGTACTCCTTATGCCCTGCTAGGCAAGCTCCCATTTCAGCGCTTGGTGAAGGAGATCGCCCAGGCCATGGCTCGATTTGCCACGCCGGCTCCGCATGCTGAAGCCAGCGTGTTCCCAGCCCCAAACTCGGGTAGGCACCTCCCAGCGACGATTCCATGGAAGTGCAAACAAACCCGGTAGAAAGACGACCTTCTTGAATGAAAGGGGCTTTATGCACTTCCATGTTAGTTGGTGATGGTATATGACACAATAAAACGCAACAGCCGCATGTTCCTCACACGGGCATTTAGGTGAGCCAAGCTTTGGGCAAGCTGGGGCTGGTAATCAAGAAACTTGGGAGATTCGTGTGGGTGTCGAGGCAATTCGAGTCAAGCCGCTCTAGAACATTCCAGCATAAGAGTTGCACCGATCAGATCCCTTTGGCCCATACAAGTGGGAGGGTGGGTGTCCATGTGAAAAAAAGAAGAAAAAAAGAAACAACATGCTGCTTTCGATTGTTCTTCGGGAACCAAACCGACGGCTCGGTGTCCATACGACTTTGGGAGGTATCTTGGGAACGATTCACATCCCGGGACCAGCACCCTCCAATGGCCTTTGGGTTGGGTGCTAGGCCCGAAAGGCTGATTGAGCTCTTTCAGGAGGAATATGTGTTTTTTTTGTTTTTGTTTTTTTCCGAAAACACTCTTTAGGAGGATATTGTGTGTTGATGGACAGGCGTACACGTCTTCCTGTGCCTGGCCATGCCTGCATGTGAAATGGATGTTTACAGTCGGGCGAAAGTAGATTGCACGATTCAAACCCATCTTGGTGCAGGTTGTCCCTTTTGCTTGCCCACATCTACGTGAAGTAGTCTACTGTTTCAGGAGATCCCTTCAACATGAGCAATTCGCGTGCGCCCCTACTCAAAGCAGAAATCCTGGTGGAGGGACACCCCTTTCTTTGGGGCGGATTTCCCTACTAAAATTGACTACAGAAAAAGGGCACCCTTCTTCTAACGATTTTAGGTCCAGTTCAGTCTGGAGGACCTAGTTCAGTCTGCCAGGAGGTGAAGTCGGATCTCAAGTTCCAGTCCCAAGCAGTGCTGGCCTTGCAAGAGGCCGCCGAGGCCTACCTGGTGGGACTCTTCGAGGACATCCGAATCGACTCGAATATTGAAGGGTTCCTTGCTACCCAAGCTTGAGGGGTCAAAACGGGGGTCAGTATTCAGTTGATGCTACCAAGGTACCCTTGTTGGGTTTCTTTGGGTGGGTTGTTCGAAAAGGGGAATCTAGTCGGAAAATCGCAGAAGACTGCGCGCGACTTTCCCAAACACAACGAGTTGGGGGCGGACCCTAACTCAAGAGTTGGATTTGGCTTCCTCTCAAACCAGAAAATAACAATGGTAGTGTCCCCCAATAGTGCCCTTTCTCACCCTGTGTTGGGGTGAGGGTTCCCCTAAAATAAACTACAGAAAAAGGGCACCCTTATTCTAACCCCTCTACCTGAGGACCTAGTTAAAAGCGGCCAATGCACTGTTGGATTGAGGGGGTACTGCTGCCTGACTGCATGGGGGGTTGTAGAGAGGCCTTTGTGGTTTATAGCCAGCAGAACTGGTAGAGCCAAAAGTCAGTTATGTTTGTTTGTCGCTCCTCAAACGGGTGCTTCTCAAAACCGGGAACCCCGAGAATAATAGCTGGCATTCCCATCCAAGGTATCTATTCCTTTGCGGTTCCTGAATAGCTTGGAGATGTTCTGCGAGACTTCAGCATGAAGCTGTCACCTCAGGACACGAACCTGTGCGCCATTCACGCCAAGCGCGTGACCATCATGCCGAAGGACCCCCACTCCCTCCCCCCAGTGCCATGGACACTTCCAGTGTTTTTGCGGCACCAAACAAACCCTAGCTACAAAGTCAATACTGCACACAAACATGCAAAACAGACTCTAAGTGCCCACCATACGGACTCTACTGCCCCCCCCCGTTTTGGAAGGGATACCAGGTACGTCTCAGGGATCCCGCATCCGCCACTGCCCCTTCCAGTAGAGAGAGCACAGCGTGAGCGTCCGGGTGTCAATATGGGTGTGGCTCAAAATTAAAGAGCTAGGGTTACGCAGGTTTTAGTCTTTGGTTTCATTTACCAAGGGTGCCATTTTGGTACATGCTTTTGAGCCACAGCCATATATGTGTGAAGTTTATGTTTTTTGACCATCATGCCAAAGGACCCCCTTTCTCGCGTGTTTCAACCAACGATACCTATATATATATATATATGTACCTACATTAATATATATATATACACATGTGTACCTGTATATATATATATGTATATATATATAGAGATATGTACATATATATTTATATAGGATTATATAATATGTATAATCAATCGCGATAATCTAAGACGGGCTTGGCACTTGCAGCTGGATCGGAGCAACATGTGGCGTTCTTGGGGCAAACCGAGCTCGCGCGTGTTCTTTACTTATTGACATGCAGAAAATTACTTAGGTCAGATGAATCTGAGCGGCTTCCTTTGGAAGCCGCCCGGCAAACATGATCAACACCCGCCCGAACCGTCCAGTTGCAGTTGCAGTTGGAGAGTTGGAGAGTTGGAGCTTTCAGCTTTCTGGGATGAGTGGCATCGCATCAGTGGATTAAGGTTGAGTGCCGAACCGGTGCTGGTAGAGAAAGACTACTAGAATCCTGAATTCAGGGTTGATGCACCTCTACTTCGTGCAAAGTGAATCGACCTTTAGCTTCACCAGTGGTCCAGTTGTTATCGTCTTGGGGTCAGGATCCCCAGAAAGGTTCGATTCGAACCCTTCAGTTGAGGCTTTGCTTGGCTGGGATTTGGAGTCTTTGGCAGAAAGGATTGAGATGATAGGTTCTAGTCGGTGGCTCCTTTCCATTGACAAGGCTCTGACATGCAAATAGCCACCAGATACAGGGGAAAGCGAGAGGAAAGGGTTCGGCTTGTTTCCTGCTGCTTTGTTTGCCTGAGCACAGCGCGTCCAGGACGTTCAGCTGGCACGCCGATTGAGAGGTGAGCGCACGTAGATCCTGCGGTTTGCACAGATGCAGGAAGATGCAAGAACTCGGGGAAATCCTCGAATCGGAAGCCGTAGCAGCAGTGCCTGAATGATTAGGTCTGTAGATCAACCATGCCTAACACTAAGGCTCTCTCACTGCTTTTTGGTCCTGTGTTCAGACTGTTTTCAGCTTGCATCTTAAAGAGTGCGAGTGTGACGCGTCTGCACATCGTGTCACACGTCTCCTTCGCGAGCGAATTGGTGACTCCTGTACTGTACGAGCGGATGTGGGGGGGAGGACGCAAAGAGGACGGTGTGTGGCTTCGAATAGATTGGATCCCTTTTTTTACCAGAGGCGGCTGCTTTGTGTTCGCCGGATTTTCGCTTTGTTACACTCAGCTTAGGTTCTTGGAACGACCTTAACCGTAGCACACTAGCTTGGCGGTTCCCAGCCGTTTGGAGAGTTTAGAGGGATGTATGACACGTTCCACTGCATAGACAATTACTGGGTCCCCCAGTAGTGCCCTTTTACCAACTTTTTTGGGTGAGGGTTCTCCTACTAAAATAGACGATAGAAAAAGAGGGTACCCTTATTCTAACCTCTCAAATCTGGAGGACCTAGTAATTCTCCAAAGAAAAATATAGGAGCCTGAGTTTTGTTGCGGACCTCATCAGAACCCTGCTGGGGCATTCCATGAGGCTGACTGTTTGTACCGTGTCGTCAAAGTGCAGACCACACTTTGGCAGCCATTGTTCTTTGCAACAACCAGCCATTTCCCCCAGGGTTTTTGCCGGTTTTCTAGAAAGAAGGATCCCCTGGAAAGAATGGAAATGGAAGGTACCGGTACCCCTGGAATGTACTTAGACGGTACCCTTTTTCTAACCTCTCAACTGGGCCGATGGACTCCTCTTTGCGCCTGCCTGGCCAGCTCAGCGTCGTTTCGGGGTGACGGCCTGCAGGAGGAAAACGGCACCAGCGGCGCCAGTGGGATGGCGGTTGAACATCTTCTGGGGGTGGCAAATAGCCGACCGGTTTGTTGTGTATACGCGTATATAGTATATAGTAACATATATATATATATACACATTTATATACATATTTGTATGTATACATACGTGCATGCATATAGTATGGGTTTTCCAGACCCCGCTTTTGGAGACATCAGGATCGGCGCCTCCAGTGCTCAAGGCACAAGCTCAGTGTGGCTTAGGCGTCCTTCTCCGGTCCCTGTGCCTGAAACCCAAGGAAAAAGGTAGCGTCAGGCCAAAAGAATCGGTGAGCAAGAACAGATGACTAGGTCTCCCAGCTAGGTGCCCTTTCTCACCGTTTCTTTTTTGCGGGAAAAAAGGGTACCCTTATTCTAACCTCTCTACTGGAGGAGCTAGATGAGTCTCACTGGCTTTAGTGTGGTTTGATTTTAATGTGCCGGATCCACGTAGGCAAACATACACTTCCTCGCATCTTGTGTGCAGGTGCTGGCAGAGTGTTGCATAACATCCAGAGCTGACTTCCATGGCTTTTGTGGCCTAGCTAATGAGAGCTATAGGATGTGTTCAAATAAGAGGGACCCCCAAAGTGGTTGGCTTCCTCTCGGTTTTCGTTTCAACGAACTCCGCAAAGGGCACCCTCAAATAGGGTTCCGCTCGGCCTTATATGCTGGTTACCCTAGCTGGCACTGATTGGCCTCTAGATCAGGTTAGCCTCTTTTATTTTGTTCATCCCTATCTCGGTTTTTTGGTTTATCCCTATATGTCTTGGAGTTGTTTACTGTCACTAGGTCCCCCAGTACTGCCCTTTCTCACCGTTTCTTTTCTTGGGGGAGGGTTCCCCCACTAAAATTAGACTACCAAAAAAGTTGGTACCAACTTATTCCGACCTCTCAAATCTGGAGGACCGCGGCCCACATTTTTCCCCACTGGGCTTCAGGAGCTCATGTCATCGCCTCCCTTCTGATGAAGAACTCGGGCCTAACGGCCGTGGATGTCTCGGCCCGCGCCCCAAAGCTGCCTCCTTTTGGCCGTCGGTGCCCATTCAGGGCTCCTTAAAAGATCTCCATTTTTTTGCCTGCCCATTTGAAACATGTGGCTTTTTCAGCACCAAAAACAGGGGAAACCACCATTTACAAGGCAACGTTCAGGTGTGTGATGCAAGGATCCCTGCTATTTACACGCTGACGCGACACAGCCGGCCACCGGGCACCTTGCCCTGCCCGTTCTGTCACTTCCCTTTCCTGTAAGTCCGATGAGTAGATGTTAAGATCTTAAAATTCTAAAAACTTTGAGATTCTAAGGGTCAGATTTGAAGATTTTCGGAATTTAAGGTTTCAATGGTTGAAGAATTAAGGTTTTAAGATTCAAAGATTTAAGGTTTTTGAAGGTTATAACAGCCAGGCCATTGCCCAGCCATTTTCCATCCAAGGCTTTAAGATTGATTTTTTTTGAGATTTTCAGATTTGGCGACTTTCGGAATTTAAGATTTTAAGATCTTAAGATGTCAAGACTTCAAAATTTGAAGATTAAGAGGTTAAGGAATTTAGAATATTGCCCGGATTGAAGGAATTTTATTATATCTGACTTGTTGTTGAATTTAAGATTTTCAGATTGCAATAATTCGGGATTTAAAGAATTTAAGTTTTTGAAGCTTTTAAGATTCTGAGATTTTCAGATTTTGAGAATTTAGGAGTTTCATATTTTAAGATTTTAACATCTGAAGATTCAAAGACATGAGGGTTTCTGTCACTTCCCTTTCCTGTAAGTCCGATGAGTAGATGTTAAGATTTCAAATTCTAAAAACTTTGAGATTCTAAGGGTCTCAGATTTGAAGACTTTCGGAATTTAAGGTTTCAATGGTTGAAGAATTAAGGTTTTAAGATTCGAAGATTTAAGGCTTTTGAAGGTGATAACAGCCAGGCCATTGCCCAGCCATTTACCATCCATTATCAGATTTCGAAGGCTTTAAGATTCTTTTTTTTGTGAGATTTTCAGATTTGGCGACTTTCGGAATTTAAGATTTTAAGATCTTAAGATGTCAAGACTTCAAAAGTTGAAGATTAAGAGTTTAAGGAATTTAGAATAATATAGCCCGTATTGAAGGAATTTTATTTTTTTACTTGTTTATGAATTCAAGATTTTCAGACTGCAATAGTTCGAGATTTGAAGAATTTAAGTTTTTGAAGCTTTTAAGATTCTGAGCTTTTCAGACTTTGAGAATTTAGGAACTTCATATTTTAAGATTTTAACATCTGAAGATTCAAAGACATGAGGGTTTCTGTCACTTCCCTTTCCTGTAAGTCCGATGAGTAGATGTTAAGATTTTAAAATTCTAAAAACTTTGAGATTCTAAGGGTCTCAGATTTGAAGACTTTCGGAATTTAAGGTTTCAATGGTTTAAGAATTAAGGCTCTAAGATTTCATATTTTAAGAGTTTAAGATCTCAAGATTCTAAGACATAAGGTTTTTAAGATTTCAATATTCGAAGACTTTAGGAAGTTTTTATATTTTTAGATTTTAACATTCTAAGTTCTAAGATTTTAAGATTTTGAGATTCTAAGATTGATTGTTAGATAAAAATTTTAAGATTTTAAGAATCTAAGACTTTAGGATTTTGAGATTTCAATCCAGGCCATTTTCCATCCATTTCCATCCACTTTAGATTTTAAGGTTTTCAGGTTGCACGTTTTCGGCAAAATTGGCCCGACTTAGGGGACAACATCCCAGCATCCCCCGCATCGCCAGCATGCATAACATCATCCGCATCATCCGGGATGATGCTGGCAGTGCTGGGGGTGTTGTCCAGTATTAGGCACCCCCTAAAAATGTTCGTTTTTGGGCGCTGCGGGGAAATGCTACAAAAATCGCCTAAACCAATCCGCAAATCCTTCGCCCCTTATAAGGGAGGGCCCAGCACAAAACGTATGCGCATGGTCCGCGCATGGTCGGCGGCATGGGGCGCGCGGCCTTATACCTGAAGGTAAGCCCTAACGGGCTTTGGCCTGCGGCCCGATCACGTCCGGTGGCCGGATTTAAGGGCTGCCGCCCAGTGCCGCCGACCCCAGTTTGCGGTCAGGGAGCTCTTCAGACGGACAAATGTCAGCACAAAAAATCGTGTATGTATGTATGTATGTATGCATGTATGCATGTATGCATGCATGTATGTATGTATGTATGTATGCATGTTTGTATGTTTGTATGTATGCATGCATGTATGTATGTGTATGTATGTATGTATGTATGTATGTATGTATGTATGTATGTATGTATGTATGTATGTATGTATGTATGTATGTATGTATGTATGTATGTATGTATGTATGTATGTATGTATGTATGTATGTATGTATGTATGTATGTATGTATGTATGTATGTATGTATGTATGTAATGTATGTATGTATGTATGTATGTATGTATGTATGTATGTATGTATGT